TATAGTCGGGGCCTTCTTGCCGACACCATGTTTACTCCTTTTTGTATCTTTAGAGGCTCTGTAGATACTATGTGGGTTGTATATGGGTATTGGGAATGTTAAACAAGTATATATTGTATTTTATCACTTGTTCCACTCAAACTATAAGAATCCATGTATTTTGAGACTTAAAGGCAAAATAGCTAAGAAAATGGGTTAATGTTGTATGTATGAACTTCCTTCTGTCTAATTAATGAAATCGTGTCTTTTCTTGATAATGGGTGAGTTGGGTAGAAAGTATCTAACAGGCTTGCTCGACCGGATTCACTCGGTTGAGCGTCGGCTGCGCCTCCCGAGGATGGGGCGTGACATGTAGGCCATATCTCTTCGTCGAGTTCCCGCCTTCTGCTTTCGTTGTTACACGTGCCGCTCTCATGGGAGTACCTTAGGCTGAGTTGTTCGACCTCGACTAGTATTACTGCCTTGGTCCCGTAGACCAAAGAGTAGGGTGTCTCTCCTGTGCTCGTTTTCGGAGTTGTTCGGTAGGCCCATATTACTTCTGGTAGTATTTTCGGCCACAGTCCCTTGGCATCTTCGAGCTTTTTCTTCATGATGTTCAGTATTAACTTGTTGGAGGACTCTGCTTACCCATTACTCGTGGGGTGATATGGGGTCGAGAGTATCCTCTTGATATGCCATTTCTCGAAGAATTCGGCGGTTTTTTTCCCTATGAACTGAGGTCCATTATCACAACTGATTTCTTTGGAAAGGCCGAACCGACAGATAATGTTTCTCCATATAAAGGTGATTACCTCATGTTCCCGTATTTGGGAAAATTCTCTTGCTTCCACCCACTTAGAGAAATAGTTTGTTAAAACCAAAAGGAATCGTACATTACCTCGCCCTGCTGGGAGGGGGCCCACAATGTCCATTCCCCATTTGATGAACGACCAAGGGGAGGTGACCGAGTAGAGGTGCTTGCCCGCTTGGTGAATCATTGGGGCGTACTTTTAGCATTGCTCGTATTTTCTCACGAAATCTGGGGTATCTTTTTCATGGTGGGCCAGTAGTATCCCGCCTGTATGAGGCATCTGCCCAATGCTCGATTGCCGAAGTGAGCTCCGCAATGGCCTTCATGGACTTCTCCGAGGACGCTCTAGGTTTGGTTCGTTTCCAAGCACTTTTCCAAAGGGCAGCCGTAAGTCCTCTTGTAGATGTCGTTATGGAGGAGGTTGTATTTGGCCGCCTGCATTCTTAGTTTTTGGCCTCTTTTTTTGTCGTCTGGGAGTGTGTCGTTTTGCAAATATGCGATAATACGATTATACCAGTCCCAAGTTAAGTTTATGATTCTTACCTCGATTTGGTCTAGTGATGAGTTGAGGAGGTGGACTACATTTTTATCTTCGGTCATGTTTTTGGTCGCTGCGGCTAGTTTGGTGAGGCCATCTGCCTCGGCATTCTGTGGTCGTGGGATTTGATTGGGAGGACATTCGTCTAACTCAGGCAGTAGTTTTCAGATTTCGGTTTGGTGTTTTTGCAATCTTTGTCCCTTGATTTGGACAGTCCCTGTGACTTGGTTGACTACAAGCTAGGAGTCACATCACAATTTAACCTTTTCACTCCATATTTGAGTGCTAGCCTTAAACCTGCAATTACGACCTCATACTCGGCCTCATTGTTAGTCATATTCGGGCACCTTATGGACTGGCGAATCACTTCGCATGTTGGGACCTCGAGTACGAGTCCCAGTCCGAACCCTGACGCGTTGGATGCATCATCGGTGTATAGGACCCAGAGGTCTTGTGTTTGGAGGGAATTTTGGATGGCTTCCCTTTCGACTTCAGGCATTATTTTTGCGCTGAAGTCAGCGATGAAGTCGACGAGCACTTATAACTTTATCGCCGTTCGCGGCTGGTATATGATGTCATGCTCACTTAGCTCGATGGCCCATTTGGCCAGCCTTCCCGATAGCTCGGGTTTATGCAAAATGATCCTCAGGGGGAAGGTTGTGACAATCGAGATGGGGTGACATTGGAAATATGGTCTAAGCTTCCGTGAAGCTACGTCCAAGGCTAGAGCCAAGTTTTCGAGGTGTGGGTATCTCGTCTCGACGACGACGAGCATTTTGCTAATGTAATAAATGGGAGATTGCGTACCTTTATTTTCGTGGATCAAGACTGTGCTTACTACTACTTCGGATACGGCTAGATAGACGAGGAGCGCCTCTCCAGGTTTGAGTTTCGAAAGCAAGGGCGGTGATGACAGGTATACCTTTAGTTCTCGTAGATCCTGGATGCACTCGGTAGTCCATTCAAGGCCATTATCTTTCTTGAGTACGCCAAATAATTTATGGAATTTATCCGACGGCCGCGAGATAAAACTTGATAAGGCGGCGATGCGACTAGTCAACCTCTAGACTTATTTTTTGGTGGTCAAGAGTGTTGGTTTCCCTTTGATAGCTTTGATTTGGTTGGGGTTGACCTGGATCCCTCGCTGTGACACCAAGAAAGCCAAGAATTTTCCCTAGCCTATGCCAAACGTGTATTTCTCCGGGTTCATCTTCATTTGGTATCCTCTGAGTATGTCGAAAGTTTCCTTCAAATGATCGATATGATCCTCTGCCCTTTTGGATTTGACCAGCATATCGTCTAAGTATACCTCCATGGTTTTGCCAAGCTGGTCTTTGAACATCCTCGTTACCAATCTTTGATACGTAGCCCCGCATTATTTGGCCCAAATGACATGACCTTATAGCAATACGTTCCTTGATGGGTGATGAACATGGTCTTTTCCTGATCTTCCTCTTCCATCAGGATCTGGTTATAACCCGAGTAAGCGCCCAAGAAACTTAATAATTCGTGACCGGTCGTCGCGTCGATGAGTTGGTCGATATGAGGTAATAGGAATGAATCCTTCGGACATGCTTTGTTCAGATCTATGAAGTCCATGCACATCCGCCATTTCCCATTTTTCTTTTTGACCATTACTACGTTGGTGATCCACTTGGGGTACTTAGACTCCCTGATGAAGCCATTCTCTAACAGTTTTTCCACCTCCTCGCACACTGTGTCGTTAATTGCGGAGTTGAATTTATGCCTGGCATGTCTCACTGGGGGTGGAGTGGATTGACATTTAATTTGTGCGTGGCGATTTCCTTTGGGATGCTCAGCATATTTGCATGGCTGAAAGTAACCAAATCTGCGTTAGCTGTTAAGAATTGACTGAATTTACCTAATTCCTGAAGTTTGCAACTGATATAGGCCTTCTTGCTATGGTCGTTAGGGTCCAATTGAATGGGGTCAAGGTCTTCTATGGTCGATCATGCAGCTTCAATCATGTCGGGGTCTTTGATATCGTCCCCGATCTCGTCGTGCTCCGACCTCGACCCTGCTGATTAATATGCCTCTTTTTCTTTGTCCTTTCTTTGTTGGGTGGCCGTGCTGTCTAAGGTAATGTGGTATCATACCCGGGATATGCGCTGTTCTCCGCGTATACTGAATATTCTCCATGGAGTTAGGAATCTAAATTACTTGGTATAAGCTGGAAGGGATAACTCTTATGGGATATATCTATGGTCGATCCACTATGGCATTGTATGCGGTGGCCTGATCCATGATGTGGAATATTTTCTCTAGAGTTACACCGCCGGTCAAGACGAGGAGTGTAATTTCCCCCGATGTTCGCTCAACTACATTGTTAAAACCGGTTAGTGTGATGCAACGCGACACTATCTTATCCTCGAGCCTCATTTGGGTAAGGAATCAGGGATAGATAATGCGCGCACCGCTTCCATAGTCCACCATGGTGCGCTTGACATAAGTATCTAAAATGCGTAAAGTAATAACAAGGGCATTATTATGAGGGAAAGTCAAACTGTCTGCATCTGACTCATCGAAGATGATACTCTCGTCAAGTCCGTCATACTGTTCGCAGGTGATCGACCGCTTGAGTTTGTGAGTGGTGGTGAACTTTACGTCGTTGACAAAGGTATCGTCACCGCTGCTGATGATCATGTTGATGGTACGAGCTGGTGATGGCAGTTTTGGAGGGCCATGATGTTCATGCCCTCTGGCGAAGTTGGTCCTCTCTTTATCGCTTAACTATTCTTTGAGGTGCCCTTGCCGTAACATGTTTACAACTTTCTGTCTGAGGGCGATGCAATCTTTGGTTTAGTACCCACGTTACTGGTGGAACTCACAGAGGGTGTCATGGTTGAACCGGACGAGGAAGTCCCTTAGTCCCCCACCCAAGGATTGCCTGATAGCAAATATGTCGTTTGCTCTTGCCTTGGCCTTCTTGGCTCCGGCATGAGCGGCTACGAACTTATCAACCATTTCTTCAAAAGTTTCTATGGAGCGGGTTGGTAGCTGCGAATACCATGTTAATGCCCTTCCTGTGAGGGTTTTACCAAATTTCTTCAGCAGAATGGAGGACACTTATTCTTTGGCGAGGTCGTTGCCTTTCACAGCGGTGACGTAGTGAATTACATGATCTTTAGGATCGGTCATTTTGTCGTATATCCTGAGGTAGGGTGGCATTTTGAGGGTCTTTGGTATGGCATGCGGGGCTGCATCATCACTGTACGACTACTCTATGAACCTGCCGACATCCCATTTTGGTGGCAACTTAGGAGCGCTTGGTATCTTATCAACCCGTCCTTGGTATTCTTTCATCTGGTCTCGAAGTGCCTTATTTGCATTCTCCATTTCTTCCATTCTTTTTAGAATGGCAGCGAGGGCGTTATCACGTGCACTATCAGTAACCACTACAAGAAAAAGATGTTTTAGGGACCAACATTTAGGGACGATGTATGAATCTGGTCCCTATAAGTAACTAGTAAGGACGAGAATATACACCGGTCCTTAAATCTCTATTTTTTTGTTAAAATATTAAATAGAAATAAAATTTGTTCTAATGTATGGTCCTTAAAATAAAAATTTACCGGGAGAAAGTGACGCCATACCAATATTGGAATAAAACATAATAAAATTTACTTAAAAAACTCTAACTTTTATCAAACCTAAATCTACCGTCAAGTCTCATCTCCCTCGCTCCTCATAGAAGTAAAAACCCTAAATCCCCTAAATTTCCATATTTCTCTCAAAGGCATTTTCTTGGTATGTTAAGAAATTTTTTTCTTGGTATGTTAAGAAACATTTTTCTTTTGTCTCTCTTACGATGGGTTTGCTAAACTCATTTTTTGCAGGTTTGGGGGGAATATCAAGCTGAAAATCTGCTACTCATCTCACCACAAGTAAGCACACTTTCTTTCTCTATATATCTTCTGAGTTAACCTTTGTTTATTATTTCTCAACAACCCATTTTTGCAGGTTTGTGAAATCTTAATTTTTTAATTTTTTTTGTTGGTAGAAATTGGTTGCTGCGCAACAAATATTTTTACAATCAATTTCTTTTCTAGATTATATTTGATTGGGTGTCCCTTTGTGAATTGTTTGTAAAAGCCTATGCTTTGTTTGGTTTTTTTCCCTTCAAATTTGTTCTTCCTCTGCTATATTCTCTGTTCTTATATTTGAAACTTACGCTTAGAAGAATTTTTGGTTTTATTCAAGTTGGAGTAAGGATTTGTCTGCAATTGTTTATTTTCCATAAAAAAAATTATCTTTACTTCATTTTGTTTAGATTGTTTGTGAGTGTATTTCTATGTTTCAGTCCCTTTAATAGGAATTTAGTATTAGATTTTAGAGAATCTTTTCTCTTTAGCAGTAAATATTTGAATACAGTACCCGATGCCTAGTGTTGTGCTTCTCTTTTAATTGGAATGATGTGTTCTATCTTGTTGTAAAACTATCCTAGATGAAAAGTTTTATTGCTGTTGCAAATATGAATGACATTGCTGCTACTAGTAAAATCTCTCTTGCAACTAATGTGTTACTTGGCTTAAAAGTTGTGTTTTAGCTGCAACTAATAGTGAGACTGCTGCAACTAGTCTCAACTAGTAAATATCACTATTACAACCTCTAAGACTTCTCTCAATGTGCGAACATCTAATAATTAGACCACGGCAACTAGTAAGATCATCTTAATATAATTTACAGTTGTTGGTTTACATTTGTGTTTTAGCTTTTCACTGTAAGTGCTATATAAAATTTTTGGTCTTTATTGGATTGAAGAGGTACAAATTGCTTAATGTGTTAGTAAGTTTCAAAACTTGTTTAATGTAATATTTAGCCAGTTTTTTTCGACTTCTCTAACTTTTAGTCAGCTAGTCTAGCATGCATTGGTTTACTTTTAGAATTCTTGGCAATTACTTTTTATTGTATTCAACTTCTGGAGTATTTGTGGCTCATTTATAACCCAACAAAGTGAGAATTAGAAACTTTATTTTCTATCAATTTCTGGAGTATCCGTGCTTCTCTTTTAAGTAGAACGGTGTGTTCTATCTTGTTGTAAAACAGTCCTAGATGAAATGTTATATTGCTGAAAGTAGTAACATCCCTCTAGTCTTTTAGCTTTTCACTATAAGTGCTATATTGAATTTTTGGTCTTTTTTGGATTGAAGAGGTATAAATTGCTTAATGTGTTAGTAAGTTTCATGCTACTATAACAGCTAAAGAAGAGCTTTTTAAAGCTGAAAAATCTCCCAGTAGTATTCCATTTAACTTGTTGATCAATGAGCTGAATCAACAAGGAATACCATTGACAGCAAAATGCAGCTCAAACCCCACCCATGATGCTTCTTAAATCCTGCACCAATTGTCTTTTCTTAATTTCAATTTCCCCCATGCTCACCCAGCGTGTGTTACCAAAGAGTTCCACCCAATCGACGTGGAATGAAATAGGTCAATTCCACTATATGCAAATAATATGGAGGGAGACAATCTGCCTCACTAGAAGATGAGTTCAATGCATATATTTAAGAATGCTTGTTTTACTATATTTGCTGGTGTAAATTTCTTTTTCTAATTGATGTACCTTTGTGAAATCAATGGAGTTCATGGACTATTTACATGTAAAAAATATTTGTGGAGTCGCTAGAATTCATCAACTTATTTGTATGGTGTTGCATTTAAAAGTGGGTTGGTACTGTATGGTGTTACTTGCTACTTGTATGGTGTTGTATTGATTTTGTTTTTGCTGTGAGCTTTTTCATGAATGTCTGAGTGGCGACAATTTATTGAGAGGATTGATATAATCGACCTCAATTTGTTTGGAATTAAGGCTTAGTCTATTATTGATGGCGAGCTCTGCACTAAAGAGCTTTCTCGTGTATTTACTATGTAGTATATGACAATTGCTGCAATTAGTGGTTTCATCTGCTGGTACTTCAAGAAAATAAAATATGCTATAGCTTCCTCCACATTGCAATGGTCTTATTTTTTCATGTTTAGCGATACAAGAAACTTCCACAATTGCTGTGATAAGAGCTTTTGATAAGTTACCCACAAGTGCATCATTTCTGCATGAATACCTACCAAGTTAGATGCATAAAAGCTATCAAACTTCAGTAAAAATAAAATTCCTTATAGCTTTACTGCTTTGATGTTTCAGATGTGCCTTGTGGATATACACTATTGTTTAGATTTTCATTAAGTACATATAAACTATTGTCTAGATGTTCAACTTGAAACAAAATTTGTTGTTCTTGGTTGAGGATTATCCTTCTAGGTTTTCATAAATGACACAACAGTTATATAACATAGTTTTTTTAATTCATTTTTTTTATATTCATGCAGCCTCGTTTACATTGCTATTTTATTTTTGAAGTGTATATATACTACACTTGGTGAATTTGGACACTTTTCAAGGTGAGAGGTCAAATTATTATTAGAGTAAAATTGAAAAAATTATTTAATATAATTTTCTAGTGATATTTACAATTTCTTATTAAAAGGATTTTTTGAATATTTTTACAGGTTTTGGAGGCTAAAGTTTACAAATATAGATGCGGGTTTTGAAGACATACAATCAGTAGACTTTTGCTTTGCTAGGAACGTTGGACAAAATATCATATTAAGTTTAGGGATGTTAGCTAAAACTTTAGCTGAAGGGTAGTCCAAAAAATATTTCACCATGGTTGTACAGTGCCACTAATTTTGTCAGTAATTATTATATATGAAACCTTATCTATCATTATATTATCTTTTTGTGATTAAATTTTCTATTTGTAGAATGAATATATCAGATTTGAAAATTTATGAAAAATTAGAATTTTGACCACACATGCTTGGTCCTAAATAAGATTAAGGATCAGATCTTCTTGTCCTTAGAGCGTTTTATGACCGGTAAACTCGTCGCTAAATGTTTAAAGGCACTAAATATTATATGACATTGATTTGCAGTAAACACCATATTTCTGGTCCTTAAAAGCAGATTCCAACTAGTTGTTAATACCTTTCAAGGACCAAGATTAGTCTGGTCGCCAAACACATTTAGGGACCAGATGTAAAACCCATCGTTAATAACCTTTAACGGCGGAGGATCTAGCGACCGGTGACGACCAGTTTTAACCGGTCGCTATAGATATTCTAGGACCAGAAATAAGCTTTTAGGGACCATTATTCTCGTCCCTAAAAGTCATTTTCTTGTAGTGAACATTGTAAGTTATACCTGTCGTTGGAGGGAGGGGTTGGTTGCACTACTCGTTTGTTTGTTGTATCGCGCAAGTCCCCGCGGCTTCTGCAGTCGCGCCTGGAGCGGATTTGTTGAGGATGCTTGTTAATGAGTCAGTTAGCCATGCTTCGAGGAGTTTTTTCACAGCTGGGGGTGTCCCTTCCTCTGTACACGTGGAGGTCCCTCTCCCATTGAGTTTTGTTATGCTGCAGTGTGGGGGCGGTGCCTGCTCTCGCCTAGGGGACGCAGTGGGCGTCGTGTCCTCACTTGCCGTTTCACAGCTTTCGTTGATGACGTTTAAGAGGTTGGTTAGGAAGCCACATGTTATCCTCGTCCTTTCCACTCGGTTACCTGCCATATAGGGTTTTGCACACACAAAGAAGGGAGATCTCGGGATTTTTTGATGTTAGTGACTTGCATCAATTGTAGATCTAGAAGAAACTAAAAAATTACCTAAGAAATTCCCACAGACGACGCCAAATTGTTTGACCAAAAAATATAAAACTTGGTTCAAATAATTAAATTTGTAGAAATAAGGGCTAATCTTCGCAAACAATAATATCCCTAGACGGAATTTTTAAAGAAACAACAAATATTACGTAGATCTGGTCGAATAGTGGCGATAACATGCAATAAATACTCTAGAAACCAGATGTAATAAAATAGCATTTAATGATAAAGAACATCATTAAATGGCATTTTAGTTTTTGATTAAACATTTAACTGAATTTTTGAAGATGAATTTCAAATTTGAAAAAGTAGTTTTTACCTCTTTTGCAAGTAAATAATATTTCTCTCTCACAAAATTGCAATATTTTTTCAACTAAAATACATGTCTAAACATAACTTTAATTTTTAAATATTTTTTTTCAATTTAACTTCAAAAAATATTTTTTTTCAATTTAACTTCAAAAAATATTTTTTTTTTCAAATCTCTGATCTTTATGTTCAAACGCCTACTAAAGATTCCACAAAATATCACTCACCGGGCGTGTTTCATTTTCTTTTTCGAAATATTCATTTTTAGTTACTTTGAAATTGTTCAATTCATGGCAAGGTTTCTATTAAGCTATTAACATACATCTACAAGTACAACGATGAAATTAACTACAAATATATGTAATCTTAGTTTTGCATATTGATCAAAATCCAAAATCAAGTATTATGACACCTCTGATTTTCACTTTATTAAAACTTAATGATCCTTTTTATAAACGGGTCGATTAGGTCAGTTACAATCATTTGTAGCACTAAATTGTCAAATGTCTTTGAAGGGAGTTAAATGCTAGTAGTAATGCAGTTTATTTTTTTTCTCCCCGGGGGAGAGACTACAATTCAGTAAATATTATATTTGTTACTTCTAGCCGTAAAAAAATAGTTATTCACTCAACCACTTAAACTAAACAATAAATATAACTAGTGGATGCATAATTTGTATATAATCAGTGTATAATCTTTGTATACTACAGTCAGACATTTCTATAACAGTTATTACTATAAACGCCAATCTTTTTATGAAACTAATTTTCATGCTATATGATAATATATGTTTTCTATAACAGCAAAAAAATTTAAGAATAAATAAGCTTGTTTATATAGAGGTTTAATTGTGGCTAGAAAAAGTAAATAGTAAATCCGATAGAACTATTCGGATAAAGATCCCTTACCAGCATTACTAAAAATGAATTGATTTTGGCACCTAAAGTATAGCACGTAGACTAAATCCACACCTAGCTAGTGAGAAGTAAGAGGAAAGTGAGGACAGTTTCAGCAACTCAGTAACCGATTTTCTCTCTTTTATCACTTAAGACTCGGGACTTATTCACTCACAAACTTTACTTCTACTTACAACAAACTACACCAAATTCCTATTTCCTTCTTATTTCTAAATATAGTTTTTACTGTATTTGTCTTATAACCTGTTTGGTCAAGTTTCTTAAGAGGGTATTTTTTTTTTTCAAAAATATTTTTTTTCCTAACTTGAGGTGTTTGGCCAAGCTTTTTTGGGGAAAAAAAAATACTTTTGGGAAGAAGCAGAAGGAGAAGCAGAAAAAAATAGTTTCTTTCCAAAAGCAGAAGCAGAAGCAGAAGCAGAAGTAGTTTTGACTTTTTTTCTTACCAAGAATACCCTTAACAAAATATAGTGTATACCAAAATAACCATTAAACTTAATACTTAGGATATTAATGTATACATATTTTTTATTACTTTTAGGATAACTTTCTAATATATAGTGACTTTAGGGGTGAATGCTTTTATATTTGTTGAATAATTTTTAATACATTTAACTTATATTAAAGGAATTAAGTACTTTTAAATTTTATTTTCATATTTTACTTAAATAAAATAAAAAAATTTAATTATTGCCTGTAATAACAAAATTTTGAGATTATTTATTTACTTATAATATTAAATATTAAGTAAATATATTCATGTCCTTATTCGTAATTTGATACTTAAAAGCACTTTCTGAAAAGTTTGGCCAAACACAAATTATTGCTCAAAAGTGCTTTTCAGAGTGATTAGCCAAACACAAACTGCTTCTGTCCAAAAGTACTTTTTAAAAAAGCATTACTCAAAATAAATTGATTTCTCCTTCTTAGCCAAAGATTCATGCAAACAAAATGGCACTTCTGAAGCTTGGTTCTACATCCGAAGCCTTCTGTTGTGAAGGCCAGATTTGGTAATATTTTGCTGTAATTTATTATGGGGAGTTTTTTGCAATCTTGGTTATATGTAACATGTTTAGACTACTACTTGTTACGTTCCTCTTTTTTATACCAGTAATATTACAGTCAAACATCTTTATAACAGTCTTATTTGTTTCGAATATTTTTAGATGTTATAGCGAAGTATTATTATAGAAAACATATATTATAACATAACATAAAAATTGATTTCGAAAAATTTGGCTTTTATAGAAAAGTGTTGTTATATAGGGATGTTGTTATAGAGAGGTTTAACTGTGGTATGTATTCTCATATTTTTCTATTCTTAGGATTCAATTACTACATGTTCTTTCTTTCGTTTCAGTCATCTTATTGTCTTGCTCTTGTTACTGCTTATTTTTCATGGCTTCTACACTATCATTTTTTTCCCTTACCGTTGTGCTTATATGTTCCTTGAGCTGAAGGTCTATTAAAAATATCCTCTCTATTTCCACATTATAGGGGTAAGGTCTGCGTATACACCATCCTCCCCAGAGTTTGTCCTGTTGAGATTATATTGGATATGTTATTGTTGTTGTTGGTTATATATAACATGTTAGTCTATCCATCCTTATTATTTGAAATCTTGTTTTTTCACACAACTTAGATAAAATGGCAGGTTCCTCTGTGTTTTCTTAACGCTACATTTTAAGAAGTAATTTATGAGGGAAATATTCTTGAGTTACATGAGCTTATATGCATAGGTGGTTCAATCCATGTATTGTCAAAACCGTTTTCAACCTTCGTACGATTGGTGAAGATGGACCGAAGAGTATCTTCGTAATATCGAGGTAAGATTTGAAGAAGGCACGAACAAATTTCGAGTTTCAGAGTCAGATTAAATACCGAGCTCGACGCCATTACCGAGCTCGAGTCCAAATCAAACTATACTGAGAAGCGACGGAATCGAGCTTAAGAGCCAGAGGCCAACCAATACCGAGCCTAAGTCAATACCGAACCCTGAGTCGGCATCGAGCTCAAACCCGCATCGAGCTCTAAAACTGGAAACCGGCCAATACCGACCAATACCGAATCCGATCAAGATCGAGCTCATAGACAAGAGCCGTTACAGCCGCACTAAGGGAGAGAATCTCAGCGGGAATTAGGAAAAAACTGATTTATCATAGGTTTCCCACTATGTATTTTTAATTATATCTAAAGTAGGATCCCCCCACTATAAAAGAAATGACTATATTTCTGTAAAAGCATCAAGTTTTGCATACATTGTAACTAAGATATCATACACTCCCATATTGAAGAATTATCCTTTTTTTAGCTTCATAAATTGATTCATCTTGTTTAATCCATAAATCATCCTCATTTCAACCCGATTATTTTTCATCTTTTATAGTCAATATTCGATATTTCTATTTACTCTTACGATTTGTGTCAAGTTATACCACATACCCTTAGAACTACGTACAAATTCAACTCTATCCGTTTTTCGGGTAAACAATCCATTCCATTTTATGGAAGGGAACCTTGGAGCAACAGTCAAGTTGTTTCCGTGCGACCTATAGGTCACAGGTTCGAATCGTGGAATCAGCCAATGATGCTTGTATCATGGTAGGTTACTTACATTACACCCTCTTGAGGAACTGCCTTTTCCTGGACCTTGCGGGAATATAGGATGCTTTGTGCACCGGACTGCTTTTTTTCCAAGAGTATGAGAGTCAGATCACTAAATTTTTTATGTGAACATCTCCAGTATTATATTCATATTTCTTTTTCCTGTTCATAATATTCTTATTTTTTGTTATTTTTTAGTAGAGTTTAAATAATTGATTCAGTACTCCCAAGTGTATTAGTGTG